CCTCCTTTCATCTGGAGACAGAGAATGTAAACGATATTTAATTAAAGTCATAAATCTAGCTTTGGTTTCATTTTGGTTTTGCTGTTGCTAAATCTAATCTTGTTTCACTTGTTTACTGAATGCTTTGACACTTCAGCCGAAGTTCTAAAACTAATGGAGATTGTTCCCGGGCCCAGAGCCCGCATTTAGAAAGGCAGCTGATCCTCAGCCCACATGTACCTTGAGTAGCAAGGCAGTAAAATGTATGCCGCAAAGACAGATCCCCAAAGATCCAGGTCAGTGCCTCTCAGTGCGGGCTGCACATCAGCATCACCTAGAGAGACCCTCAGGCTCCCGGGGCCCAGGCCGCACCCCAGACCACATAAGTCACACTCTGTGAAGGAGGAGCCCTGGCGAAGGACAGCTGTGTGCTGTCCGGGATGAGAACCTCTGCCCCTGCGGTTTAAAAGGATGGAGGGCTCACAGCTGGCCGAAGGGGAAGGGGGAGGCACTCTGAAAACAACATTGCCCCCTACTTGCCCAACTGTTTTCCCACCAAACCAGATTGCAACAGGGGCTCCAGTTCATCACGTGCAGAAAATGAGGCCAGTTTTGAAGACTGGAGGTGACTGGGGGCAGCCATGCCTCGAATGGCTCCCAAGCACATTACAGCATGCTGAGAAGTGCCGTCCAAAGGGATGGAGGGCAGGGCCCCAGGATGCTGCACCAGAAGAACCCAGCCCTGGGGCCCCTTGGTCTAGTACTTATGACCTGAGATTCAGCACCATCCCATTAACTGCCCCTTTACCTGCACCCAACACCACCCTTCAGCCCCTTCAGAACGCCTCCACTCTGTCTCCGGAAGGCCTTCGAGGTCACCTGACTCTGAGCTGTACCTGAATTAGAGGCTCCGGCACAGCGCCTGATGGGATCTGTCCCAATTTCCGCACCCTCCCAGGGACAGCTCTGCTTCCCCGCTCTGATCGGTGTCAGTTCCAGAAAATAAACATCTGTGCAGGGAAAACATGGTCAGGGTTTTGTTGAAAAGAAAGGGTGTAGCTCTAGGGCCTAAAGGACATGCCAGACTAAGTCCTTGGAGAGGTCAAGTCCAGAAGAGCTGTGTCCTTGCCAAATGGAAGACTGGGGCTGCATACTGCCCCAGGTTACAGCATGAAGTCCCAGCTTTACACCATCGTTCAGTTCCTGAAAGGAGGCATGTGTCTGTCCACATTAAAGCCAAACACCAGAAACCTCAATGACGTAAAGCCAGGCCCCAGGGAGAATGAGGACCTGCTGGCCCCCGGGGCTCTGCATGAGAGGAGAGAGACGTCCTCGGGGTGGACATGGCCGCAGCAAGGGAGTCAGTGATGCTGTTGCGGACAGAGCCCAGGCCTGAGCTTTAGGAGGCAGGGTCAGTCCCAGCCACTGTGTCAACTCCCCGTGTCACTGGGGGGTGGGGGGGGGTGCCCTCACTTCTCTGGGCCTATGAAATGAGAATTGCACCCCCTGCCTCTCTCCCCATCATGGATCGTTTGGGGAAACAAATGCAGATCTTGACCTGAGAGTACTTTGTAAGGTAGGGAACACTAAAGGACATGCCAGACTAAGTCTTTGGAGAGGTCAAGTCTGGAAGAGCTGTGTGCGCGAAGAGTTAGAGCAGTGCCGAATCCGCAGAGTTCATAGTGTGTGTGTGTGTGTGTGTAGGAGTGTGTGCATGTGTGTGCATGTGAGTACAAGCATGAGTTTGAGTAGTGTGTGTGCATGTGTATGAGTGTGTGCATGCGTGCTCATACATGAGTATGTGTGCATGTGTGTGAACACGAGTCAGAGTTTGTGTAGTGTGTGTGTATGCATGTGTATGAGTGTGTGTGCACATACATGACTGTGTGTGCATGTGTGTATGAACATGCATGAATTTGTGTAGTGTGTGTGCACATGTGTATGAGTGTGTGTATGCTTGTACATGCATATGTGTGAGTATGAGCATGGATTTGTGGAGTGTATATGCATATACATGCATGTGTGTGAGTACGAGCATGTGTTTGTGGAGTGTGTGTGTGCACGTGTGTATGAGTGTGTGCATATACATGCATGTGTGTG